GCATGACTCATCGATCCATAAAACGTTACTTAAAAACTCCCTATTATTATCAGTTCTATCAAGAATCCACTGACAAAATGTGATTCTTCGTTCTCCGTCCCATGGCTGTAGTCCTTGCACAGGTTGCAAATGGTAAGGACGTCTATGGTCATTTCTAAGAACACGGTGAACATGGCTTGCTGAAATTCCCAGGGCACCAGAAACTCTCCTAACACTTGTGGTCGGATCTCTATCAAACTCACGCAGAATCATACGGGTAAATCTGCGCTGACGAACATTTATGTTTTGATCCTTTTGGAGATTTCCAAAACCATTTTCAATTATTTGGCGATGCACTCTTACAAATACTGAGCGAGTTGGATGTGGTCTGTTTGGAAATCTTCATGCGTATTCTCTGGCTGCTTCTGCTGCGTTTCCATTTACAAAGCCATACACAAAATGAATATCCCCTAACTCTTGATTGGAGAGTAAAAATGGCATTTTTATAAAACTTACAAAAAAAAAACAGGTAAAAGAAACTAAATTTCGTGCATTCACAATTGCAAAAAAACGTTTCAGGTTTCAACAGACAACAAAACTAACTGTCAACTAATTAACGTTTAACCTTATTCTCCTTTCAATTTCAAAAATATTTGCAGGCACAGCTTACTTCAAAAAATAATCGAGATACTGACTTTTTAACGTTATTTTATCATAAATAATTAAAAATGCATCGAACCTTAAACATCGAAATATCTCAAAAACGGCTAACTATAACGAAAATTCACAAAAGATCTTTTTTATGTTGAAGAGTGCGAAGAATCAGTTTTTTTATTCAAAAAGCAAAAAATTGCACTAAGAAAAATTTTTCATTTTAATACACTACAGGTACAGTAGAGAGCGCCCTCTAGCGGCTACAGTAAAACTATGTTTTTGTCGTTTTGTCGTACCAAAAAACCCTTGTATACCAATTTTCACTGTTATACATCAAATATTGTTCGAAATATTTAAAAAATTAGTTTAGAAAGTAAATTTAAACACCCTGTATTTGGGAAGCCACGCATATTTCGATCCATGTTTATATAGACTTTATGCATTCATTTTAAAAGTTCTATCGAATCTTAAAGTTATGCAACAATAAACTGAAACACCCTGTAGATAGCAGTAAAGGAAACTTTATCCCTAACAACAGAAATAGAGATGATACAACTTATACTATACAATTATTCATCACTTAACAAAATCCAATGGAGTAGTCTCAATGCTTCAACAGATGGAATGTATGGAATTGAGACCTATACCAATCGGCAACAGCATAATACGGCGTAAAATTAGCAATAATGCATTACACAGCCGCACAGAAAAAAATAAATGTCGCCGGCATAGTGTTTCCTATGCTTTGACTGCTCTTCCATGTATTGACCTATTTTCAAATTTTTTTAACAGCTAAATCAGAGTTCCCCAAACTTTTTTGTGTCGTAGACCCCTTGCCATGTTTTTCCGTGTTGGGTAGACCCCCTACTTACCTGATATAGATTTCCTGTAAATTTCTAACTGTAGTGAAGTTTAGTGTTAAAAACTTAAAGTAAAAACACAAGTTAATTTATGCATTTATTAATTGAATTTAAATTAAAACTACTCAAAATAAAACTTTGTATCTGTTATGTAAAATATACGTAACATTAAATAAACAGGTGTCTGACCAATAAGTGCCCGCATTGGGAATAAGTGCCCGCATTGAAAAAAAAATAAGATGGATAAAATAAAAAAAAGTAAAAAATAATAAAAAAAATTTTTTTACTTAAAATAGTACAATAAGCGAGTTTTTTTATTAATTATAACATAAACGTATGTTCTACAATAATTTCACTGTTAGTTTGATTAAATTCCGCTTCTTATGCGTTTAAGTTATCTAAAAATGGGAAAAAGATTAACGAATTTTAGTGTGTACCTATCCTTGAATTTTCAAAATAATTGAAAAAAAATATTTTCTATAAAGGGGGGTTCTTTAAAAAAATCAATCGGGCACTTATTCCCAATGCGGGCATTTATTGGTCAGACAGCAATAAACATAAAATAAACTATAAATAAAATAACATAAGCAATAAGTCAATATTTTTAGTGAGAAGGATGAACCTGATGCTTTAATAATAATTTATCAACATTTGGCGTCAATTTTGTAAGGGTTAATCTTAAATCTCCTCGGCTAATGATGTCCAGTCTGTTTCTTTTTTCCGTTGGGAGATTGGTAACAGCGCTAAACCCCCTTTCGACTAGGTATGACGATGGAAAGGAATTTAAAATTTTCCTCGCTATATTCCATAATACGGGATAAGTAGCGGGTATGTTGTTTTGCAACGAGAATTGCTGATATCCGTTTTTAAACTGAACCTTAAGTTCTTCGTTTGTGCTTAGTTCAGTCAGTTCCTTGTATTATGACATTCGTTTCTTCTATGTCACCATATGGATTAATTATCCACGGTGGTATTACCATAGTCAAAATATCCTCAAACCTAGATTCAAAATCTGAATAGAGGGCATTTAAATGTTGAACGTAAGTTGAAACGTCGTCTTCCTGGCAGTTTGTCTGTGACAAATTGGGGAACTGAGAAAATTCGCCCCGTCCAATATTTTGCTTGATTAGTTTAACTCTGGCAAGAAACGCTGATAAGATGGACTTTGTTTTAATCAAATTTAAACTGTCGCCTTGTAATTGCAAATTAACCATATTAAAATTTGTAAACAAATCTGTTAAATAGGCGATGTCTGTTTTCCTCTTCATTAAATTTTCTTTTAAAATTTTATCTTTAGTATCCAGAAATTCTAAAATAGTCTCAAAAATTGCAAAAAATCTTGTCAAACATAAGCCTTTCGACAGCCAGCGTACTTCAGTGTGAAGGAGTAATTGATGAAAGTGTTCGTCATTTTCTTCACACAACTGCGCAAATAACCGCGTTGAATACGCGTTGCTTCGGATTCGGTTTACTGCATCAATGATTAAATGATGTGATTCATGCAATCTAACACTCAGATTTTTAGCAACTAAATGTTGTCGATGGATTACGCAATATATTGCTAACACCCCTGACACATTTTGTTTCAAATATCTTATAAATCCACGATAACGTCCAACCATGGCAGGTGCTCCATCTGTAGCTACTGATATTATATTTGATAAAGGAATTGCTTTTTCAATGAAGGTATCCTTCAAAACATGAAATATTGATTCACCTTTAGTGTCGGTTATCAAAGTTCTTGCGAAGAACACTTCTTCGTAGATTTCTTGATTCATAATAAAACGAACATATGCCAATAATAATGCTGCATTATCAGGTAAAGTTGACTCGTCCAGTTGTATAGAGAAATGGGTCGTTTGCAGATAATTACATAAGAAGCTTTCCATATCAGAACTCATTTCATCAATACGTCTTTCAACAGTATTTTTGCTTAAGGGAATTCTTTTAACGATATCAGGTTTGTGTAATACAGTTTTTAAAACCTCTTCAACAGCTGGCAAAATTAACTTCTCTCCGATAGTATGCGGTTTTCCGGATTTTGCTATAAGTAACGAGATATTGTAAGATGCCCGCAAACCATCATCATTTCTTTGTGACGTCGAAGCGAACATTCTGTCCAGTGTAGGTCTCTTCTGAAATTTATCTTTGAGTGTTTGAAAGTATTTCAAATCTTTCTCTGTTTTATCAGGGTGCCATCTTCTCAGATGATCTTGCAGTTTAGATGGTTTCATAGCGTCATTGCCCAAAACTTTGTTGCATAAAAGGCACATAGGCGATTGTTTGTCCGGCAATGATGGAATGAAGCCAAATTTCAAATAATCAACACTGTACTGTCTACATTTCTTTTTAGATTCGGACATGGCATCAGTCATCTGTGGGCAAAATTAAATCATTTAAATAAGACAGAACATCCAGCAGCTGTATATTAAAAATATTTTTTAATTTTTCCGAAAACATTCCATAATTCGAACATCTTCTTGCAACAATTAGCTCGAATTACGGAGATTGCACTGTAATTATATTACCGATTGCTAAAATTTTCAAAAAGAAACTATTGAAGAGTACTCGTGTAATTTTGCATGATTGAATATTTAACTACTAACAACTAAAGTCATGATTGGTGTAATTTATCTATCTTTGCTAACTACGAATACAAAACTAAAATTTAATAAAATAATATAATGTACTTACTTTTCTCCAGCACTCTCAAACATAATAACACTGACTCACTATAATTTGTATGATATACTATCTGTTTATATTTTTTTAAATATTTTCTTAGCACTTTCCTTTTCAAGATTCAGGAAACCAATAAACGTATTTGTCCCACATTCGTATTTATAGAGTGACGAATTGAACAAGTCAGTGCAAGGTAGCGAAGCTGTGAGACTGCGACTCTCAGGTTTTTACAAGTTCAAAATGTATTGCGACCACAAAGCGAATATAAAAACCTACAACTTACACAATTTTATAAACATATATAATAAATTCTTTACTTCATAGGTACTTTTATAAATAATGTATATGTTTTGATATTATAAGATAGTATGATGTAAGTAAATAGGTACTATCAGTGTATGTGTTGAGATCCACTATCGTGGACCCCCATATTCATTTCATGGACCCCCAAATTTTTTTTCGCTGACGTGGACCCCTTGCAGGTTGTCATAGACCCCTAGGGGTCGATATAGACCACTTTGGGAATCAATGAGCTAAATTAAAGCTCGTTTTTAAAAATGTTTTTTTTATTCACCGATTCATTTTTCCTGTATTACTATTAGGTTGCATTCTACGCGCCATTTCTTTGAATATGAAGAATCAATCAGTGTTACGTGCCCTGAACGTTATCGCAGAAAAGCATCTAAATATAATATACACGCGATCATTACACAATCATTATTGGATATTTTTGTCAAACATAAGCAGAACAAACACGACAGGCGTGGAAATCGCTGGAAAATCACACGCAATTATGCGACATATCAAGAAACGTAAGACTTACAGGCGTTCCAAGCTTTCGGAAAATTATGAATTGTTTAAAGTTAGCTTGGGAGTGCAAGCTAAGCAGTTCTTCCAGCATTCTACCCTTCATGGAGTACAGTACATTGCTGAGACGGAAAGGAATTTTTTTGAAAGGTATGTTTTATTATTATTATTAGTCCGACATGGTTAACACGATTTACATGATCATCCTAACTCAAAGAAGAGTTATAGGTTGGTTTGGTTACGGATGAGGCAGGGCTCTAATGCACTTTTTTACATAGATTCATGTGGTTCACTTGCGTGACGGTGGGTACCATAGCTACGATTGTGGTTATCATGAACCTTTGGGAAAAATTCCAAACAAACCCAACCATCACTGGTCTTGATACTGATTTCCATAACTGGGATGTCCCATTTCCTGCAATTACTTTATGTCAGGAGCTGCCCACTGACGCTACAAAGATAAGAACATATTTGGAGACAATGTACGACAGGTAATGCACCGATGGACGTCCAATGTAAAAATAAACATTTTATTATTAAATAAAGTATTTTACACTTTGAATCGGATTATGTGATACTCAGAGCTAGAACATCAGTCACCCAAACTGTTGAACAAGAACACCTCCCTTCCTTTTTCTGTTAAATTACCTATAGGAGGCCTATGCTTCTCAAAATGAATGCTTATGTTGACGGGACAGCTAGGCAGTTTCAAAGGAAGTCTTTTGCAAAGGAAGTCCTTTGCAACTGTTTTGCTTGACTGTATCATGTTCCTTTTCCGAGCTATAACTAACCTTGCGCCTTGTGGGTATCCTTTTAGCGTAGCTGTCTAGACCTAAAATTCTGGTTTGAGCAGTTCTTTTGACAGTAAATCGGCTATCATATTGTGTCTATACGAGCTCCTTCCCACTTCAGGTGGCCCAATTATTGAAATCATAGTTTGTTTCTTATCAAACACAAATAATAAAAATGTAGCAGGGTGTTATAGGTTTAAAATAATTATTAACAATGAATATTTTGATAATAGTATATAGTAGAAAACACCAACTTTAGCACTCCCTACTCAAACTTGCAGCATAAAAATAACACATGTTGCAATTACAGCATATCAACCTATTTTCATTTCAATGCAAAATAAGTTTATAACGGATAGGTGGCTGTGAAAAATAAAAGCCATGACAATTGTTTTTATTAATCACAGCTGTCAAAATACGTTTAAAATAGTTTTGGGTAGTTAAGGTTTTCAAAATGGGTAGAGGACAGGTTCACTGATCAACAGCCAAAAAATATCCTAAATAAAATCAAAATAAATATTACTATTTTTAATGTGCTAAAACCGGAATGAAACTTATTTTTTCAATATTAGTTCAAGTTTTAGAGATACGGTAATTATATGTGTTCCTGCTGTGACAGTGTTAATATACTGTAATTCACAAGAATGCACGTGCTACATTTTTATATTCGGCAAGGAAAGATGATGTAATCGGCATAACTGTGTTACGTTATACATACGTGTACATTATATTGTTTTATATTAGCCATTTTTTCCTCAGTTGGCTGACAGCGTTCATGCAAGATGTCTCGAAAGTGTGTAAACAATCCAGATCAGTTTTGTTACGTGTGTGGTGATGTGACTTTTGCGTCTCAGAGACGGTCTATTACTCCACTAATAACAAAGGCATATCAGCTTTATTTCGGTTGTAAACTAGGTGATCAAGACAAACAGTGGGCACCCCACATCTGCTGTAATACATGTGCTTCAAGTCTGAGGAGCTGGTTAAATGGCAAAAAACGGTCTATGCGCTTTGCTGTCCCAATGGTTTGGAGAGAGCCTACAAATCAAATTAATGATTGTTACTTTTGCATGGTACCTTGTGTTGGACAAGCCACAGGTATGTCCAAGAAAAAAAAATCGGTTATTAACTACCCAAACATACCATCTGCGATGAGACCTGTGCCTCACAGTGACGAAAATCCTATTCCAAAACCCTCAGAATCCTACACTTGCGAATTAGAAAACGAATCAGATCATGGCGATCGAGTGATTTGTCAGGAAGAAGATATGCCATCAACGTCAAGAGATCCTGATTTTATACCGAGCACGTCATGCCACCAACCGCACAAAATAACACAGTCAGAATTAAATGATCTTGTAAGAGATTTAGAACTTCCAAAATGTAAGGCAGAGTTACTTGGATCAAGACTGCAGCAGTGGAAGGATGTTTCGGTATGTGTTTTTCGTAAACGCCACAAAGACTTAGAACCATTTTTCAATATGGAGAATAACTTGATTTTCTGCAGTAACATTAACGGCTTACTGGCGGCTTTAAATATAAACTATAACCCAGAAGAATGGAGATTGTTCAACATTGAGTTTAAAGGCAGTGTTATTGCATATTGGAAATATTTTACCATCTCTTCCTGTAGGGTATGCAGTTCACATGAAAGAATCATATGACAATATGAAGTACCTATTGACATGCATAAAATACGATGAGCACCAATAGCATATTTGTGGCGATTTGAAAGTTGTTGCACTTTTACTTGGGCTGCAGCTAGGCTACACAAAGTTTTGCTGTTTTTTGTGTGGATGGGACAGTCGGGCAAAGGCACTTCATTACATCAGACAAAACTTGCCTGTTCGTCAATTCCTAGAGCCAGGTCAAAACAATGTACAGCATATGCCATTAGTAGATTCGAAAAAATTTTTATTACCACCACTGCATATCAAGTTGGGCCTAATGAAAAACTTTGTCAAGGCATTAGATAGAGATGGGTCAGCTTTTCAATACCTGCGTCAGAAATTTCCAAGACTAAGTGAGGCAAAGGTTAAAGAAGGTATTTTTGTTTGGCCTCAGATTCGAAATATTTTGAAAGATACACAGTTTGAAAACACTTTAACAGGTATTGAAAAAACTGCTTGGAATGATTTCCGTCTGGTGGTCACTAATTTCTTGGGAAATAGAAAAGCTGACAACTATAAAACCCTTGTCAAAAATATGCTGTCATCGTATCAAAAGATGGGCTGTAATATGTCTCTTAAGATACATTTCCTACACTCACACCTGGACTTTTTTCCTCACAATTGCGGAGCCGTAAGTGATGAGCACGGCGAACGTTTTCATTAGGATATTCCAACAATGGAAAAAAGGTACCAGGGAAAGTGGAATCCTTCCATGCTTGCAGACTACTGTAGGACTCTTGGTAGAGATGCTCCAGAAACGATCCATAAAAGAACAGCAAAAAGACAGCGCATATAATGATTCTTATAAGTATATGAATCTTGTTACTTTTTTTAATATATCCTTAAAAATAAAAAGTTTTTTTTCTAAACCGCAACTATTTTTTTTATTTCATTGTCATTTTTGGATTCAGCGCCCCAAAAGTAACAAAGGAGTGCACTTTTCCCACAAGAAACAATTAAAAAACTAAAATTTGTTGTCCAGATTATTAGCGATAAAATTCGGTTACTGATAATTAAATTTTTTAATTCTGGGAAATCAAACTCAGAAATTGCAACTTTTTTAGACTTATCGCGGTACAGTGTGAGAAATATTGTTAGAAGATATAACGTAACTGGTTCAGTTAATATTAAGCCACGATATGTGAAAAAAAGTAATATCACAAATGCCGACCGAAGAGCATTAAGAAGAATAATCGTGAAAAACAGGCTTGCCAATTATTTACAATTAAGTGCTCTGTGGAGTGACGCTGTTGGAAGGAGAATTTCGAGGTCCACAATTCATAGAGAGGCCCACAAACTGGGATTTAGCACTTGCAAGGTAAGTTTTCTTACAAAAAAAGTGAAGTAAAAGTTGTACAACTTGTTTATAGGCCAAAGAAAACCCACTATTAACTCCACTGCAAAAGAAAAATTGGCTTAGATGCGCTAAAGAACATAGATAATGGACACCTCAAAAATGGTGTGCAATACAATGGAGTGATGAGGCCCGATTCGAAGTTTGTGTTGGTGACAGTCGCAGTAGAGTTATTCGCAAAAAAAATGAAGCCGTTCTATGTTGACTGTCTGAAGAGAAAAGTGAAATTTCCAGCAATTTTAGAAGAATCGCTTTTACCAGTGATGGAACCATGTTTGACATCCGGCCAAGATTTTGTGTTTCAGCAAGATGGTGCAGCAGGCCAAACCTCAAAAAGGCTATAAAATGGATGGAAGAAAATAATGTACCACTTTTGAAATGGGTTACTACCAGTCCAGATCTGTCACCTATTGAAACTTTGTGGCACTAGATGAAAAAGGTTCTACGACAACATCCTGCTCGTACAATCACCGAACTGAGACAAAAGCTTCAAGAAATATGGGATTGTTTTACACCAAATTTTTGCCAAAACTTGGTTAACACTATGCCCCAAAGAATTTCAGCCGTAATAAAAAATAAAGGTGATGTTACCAATGGTAATCCTTCAATTGTTGCTTTGTTGTTGCATTTATTCGCACATTGTTTATTTGTTCAGATGTTCTATTAGTTATAGGTCTAAGTGATTTAAAATATGTATTTTTTACGACTAGAGTGTATCAAAAATGTTTTTGAGAAAATAAATTGTTTTAGAAGTAAACAGTTTCATCATGTGTAGTTTATAAAGGCATATTTTGGTACAAATCTTGAAGTGGGCCAACTGAAATGGGAAGGGGCTTGTAGTTTTATTCGCGGTTTTTGGTGGTTACGTCATCAGTAGATGTCTTATGGGGATTCGGTCTCAAAACTTCCAAAATCCGCCACCAGAGGCGCTGGCGTCGCGCGCCATTGACAGGTTGTTGGACGGAATCTGTAATCATGAGTTGGGGATTCCGCCGCTAGATGGCGCTGTCAAACCAAACGGAATCTGTGTGTCATTGGACACCTGTCATGCGTCATTGGGCATCTCACGCATAGATGGCGTTAAAACGTCATCTGTCATACGTCATTGGACACCTGTCATTGATTGGTTGGGCATCTCGCGCATAGATGGCGCCGATTTGTTTGGCGCTGTACAAACCAAACGGAATCTATGTGTCATTGGACAGCTGCCATTGATGGGTTGGGCATCTCGCGCATAGATGGCGCCGATGTCGCACCTGTCTGGTGTTGGCGTGGATTACGGGGGGCAACGTGTATACAGGGGTGCATCGAAAAATAGCGGATCGATGGACCGACGGTATATCGTTAAATCGTATATAGCAAGGCGTGACCTAAATAGCGTGGTGGGCTCCTCTGGTCGGTCAGTCGGTCGGTCAGAATGTCTCATAACCTGTATACGATGTACTGTTATTATTATACAGGATGATACCGTTCAAAATGAAAATAGTATAATGGATATTTTATTGAAACATATAGTATATATAACAATAAGGTTGATTGGTGTGTGTGTGTGTGCCATGTTTTGAATACCCGCGCTTGAACAACTTGCAACAAGA